ATTTTTTCCGTCTGGATCATCCTTTGCACAATTTTAGAGAACAAGAAGAAAAGCATACAACATATTAAGATGGTTTCAAGCTACTTTATGAATATTTAATGAAATTACAGTTAAGCAAGTCTGTTACTCACTATAAGGGAAGATTAGTATTAGATCCAGAGGCAGTCTGGTTTTGAAAAGTCTGTTCACTTACACAATTGGACAATTCAGCAATATCATCAGTTCTAACTTTTCAGATTAATCCAGTCGGTACGATTGAGGCCCATAAGAGGAGTCCTTGCTACTACCCTCTAGTAGTCAAATCAATGTGCATTTAAAGACCTATTTTAGAAAAAAATATCATTCTAAACTGCATTTTGGAAATAGGAACAAATTACTGCAGCTACTGGAATCTGTACTGAAAACAACAAATGCTGGAGAACACAGCGGGTCAGACAGTATCCATGGAGAGAGAACAAGCTAACGGTTTGGGTCTAGATGACTCTTCATCAGAACTGAAGTGAAGTGTGGAGGGGACCAGCATTTATGCTATAGTTTGGGGTCCTACACTGGTCTCCTCCCACAACTCTTTTCTCGAAACATTGATGATTGCTTCAGTGCCACTTCATGTACCCACCAGGACCTTGAAAACTTCATTCATTTTGTCTCCAATTTCCACCCCTCTATAACTTGCACATTATCCATTTCCGACACTTCCCTCCCTTTCCTTGACCTCTGTCTCCATTTCGAGGAATAAACTGTCCACTGCCATCCACTACATAGCCACTGACTCCCATTGCTACCTTCACTACAGCTCTTCACACTCCACATCCTGCAAGGACTCCATCCCATTCTCCCAGTTCCTTCGCCTACAACGTATCTGTTCGGATGATGCCACCCTCCAACACAGCGCTGCTGACATGGCTTGCTTCTTCCATGACCGTGGTTTCCCACCCACTGTGGTTGACAGGGGCCTCAACTGCATGCGACCCATCACCCATGCTTCCACCCTTGCCCCTTCCCATCACTTACAACAGCGTGACTGGGTTCCCCTTGTCCTCACTTTTCAATCCCACCAGCCTCTTCATTCAAAGCATCATTCTCCACCATTTCAGACAACTCCAGCAGAAAGCCACCACCACTCCCCCAAATCACATTTTCCCCTCACTCCCGCTGTCTGCATTTCGCAGGGATCGTTCCCTCCAGGCCACACTCGTCCATTCCACAACCACCAACACCACCTCACCTCTCCACAGCCTTCACTTACACAGCCTTCCCATGTAACCACAGAAGGTGCAACACCTGCCCCTTCACCTCCTCCGTGCTCCCCATCCAAGGACCTAAATGGTCTTTCCAGGTGTAGCAGCATTTCACCTGTACCTTCTCCAATCCTGTGCTTTGTATTCGCTGAACCCAATGTGGCCTACTCTACATCGGAGAAACCAAATGCAGACTTGGTGACTGTTTTTGTGGAACATCTCCAGTCTGTGCGCATGCAGGACCCCAACCTTCCCATAGCCAGTCATTTTAACACAGCGTCCTGATTGCATGCCCATTTGTATGTCCTCAGCATGCTGCAGTGCTCCAGTGAATCACAGTGCAAACTGGAGGAACAACATCTCATCTTCAGACTAGGCACTTTATAGTCTTCTGAATTTAATATTGAGTTCAACACCTTTAAATTGTGAACCATTTCTTCCCTTTCTTTTAGCCTGTTATCACGTCCCCCCTTCCCCCATCCCATTTACTGTCCTTTCAATTCTGGCAAGAGACACCATTATTTGGCCATTCTCACACTCCGATCACTTAATCTGAATTATCACCATATTTTCTCCACCAGCACCCTACACCCACTAGCCCCACCCATCCCCTAAACTACTGCATAAATGCTGTCCCCTCCAAACTTCACTTCAGCTCTGATAAAGAGTCATCTTGACTCAAAACGTTAGCTTGCTGTCTGACCAACTGTGATCTCCAGCATTTGTTGTTTTCAGTGCATTTTGAATATATTCAATACCTTCTCATTTGTAGGGAACAATCTATAGCTTGTATGGAACACTGATCATAAAACCCACATTCAATGTCACTCTGTGATACAACATATTGATACAAATATTGTGTTCATTCACTTTAGTAAGCAAGAACCAGGCATTAAGCTGCAGATAAAATCCTGAAGAAAACAGAAATTGCTGGAGAAACTCAGCAGGTCTGCCAGCACCTGTGGAGAGACAACAGAACTAACAATGAGTCCAGTGAACTTTTCTTTAGTTAAAATCCTGAAACTTTAGCACTCTGTATGTACTGGCATCAACAAACTGCATTCAAGAGGGTCAGGTAGTAAGCCGTAATTCAGTTTAAAATGCAATGGCACTTTGAAATCATAGGATTAATTATATTAAAAACCTAGAGACAGGTACAGAGGGTTTAATTTTGAAGCTGACAGATGACACACAACAAGGAATGCACTTAACAAAGAGAAAGATAATGAAGTGTAGGAGGGCACAGACTAAGCAGTGAAATGGGCAGGCAGATGGCAGATGACATATAAGGCAGAGAAGTAGGAAGTGATGTTTCAGTAGAAAGATAGATGAGATATAATATAATGTAAACAGAGTGATACAAAGTTAAAGGAAGTCAGGAAGTGATGTTTCAGTAGAAAGATAGATGAGATATAATATAATGTAAACAGAGTGATACAAAGTTAAAGGAAGTCATGTAGGTGACTACACACACTGCGCTGACAAGGCTATTAAAAAGTATATATTGGATCTTTAGCTTTAGTAATAAAGGCAGAGGGTACAAGAGCTAGGAAGTAATGTTAAACCTTTACTAAAACTGTTTAGAGCTCAGATGGAGTTTTGCACAACATTCAACAAAGGTTGTCAAGGCTTTGCACAGGGTGCAGAGGAAATTTATTAAAATGGAATCTTGGATGAGGGACATATTTATGTTAAGAGACTGGAGAAGTCAGCGTTGTCCTCCTTACAGCAAAGTAAAAATATTTGATAGATACTCAAAATTAGGATACCTGTTTGGCATGGACAGTTTGGACTGAAGGGTCTGTTTCCATGCTGTACAACTCTCTGATTCTAAAATTAGAAATAGCTTTCACTGAGGAAATAGAGAACAGTTTCCAGTGGCAGAAATGTCAATAACCAAGGACACAGATTTAAAATGATTGGTAAAAGAGCCAGTGTTGACACAACGGAACCTTTTCTTTTAACATTGGGAAATGTTACAATCTAAATGGCACTGACTTAAAAAGTGTTGGGAGTAGAATTAATGGTAACACACAAAAGAGAGTTTGAGATATCATTGATGAGAGCTATTCCTGTATTTCCCAAGTTCCTGTATTAACAGTGGAGTTCAGCAGCTGACAGATTAGTTCCAGAATGTCTAAGTTCCAATTTGGTACATGCAAATCTCCTTCTAAAATATGATATAGTATCTGTTGTGAATTGAACAGTGGGATGAGACTAATTTTTCAGTTGTGGCTTTCTTGCTATCTATCCAATTTCCTTTTGTTATTCATTCAGAGAATATGAGGATTGCTGGCAAAGCTGACAATAATTGTCATTTTCACTCCCCTCAAGAAGTTGATGGTGAGCCATGCTCATGAATCACTGCATTTTGTGCTGTGCCGGTACTTATAGAGCACTGTTAAGTGGGGTGTTCCAGGATATTAACTTGGCAACAATTAGGAAATATATTTCCAAGTCTGAATGGTGTGGGACTTGAAGAAATGCAAGTTGTGGCCTACCCATGCAGCTGCTGCCCTTATAACCTCTACCATATGGAAGCTAAGGTTGGGAGGTCTTGTAAAAGCAGCTTAGGCATTTTACTGCAGTGCATCTTGTAGATGGAGGACATGAATGTTTAAATAGTGGATTAGGTGGTAATCAAGTGGGCAACTTTGTCCCAAATTGTTTTGAAATTCCTCACTGTTATTGTAGCTGCAATAGTCTACGCAATTGCACAGCATTGCATTTGTATGAAGTTCATACTTTGTGGACAGTTGCAAAGCCTTGGGCAGTCATTTGAAATACTTAGCATAGAATGCCCAGCTTCACTTGCTCTTGTAGCCACAGCATTTATGCAATTGGTCCAGATAAGTTTCTGGTCAATAATGACCATCTTCCCCGCACCTCACATATTGTTCACACAGGATTCAACAATAGTAGTGCCTGCCAGTTGTGTGGTAACAATATTTCTTTTCCAATGCTGCTTTATTGGTAAAGCTATATGCTGGCAAGAACTACTTTCTGTCTGAGGAGTTGTAACTGGAATTAAACACTGTGCCAACTTCAGTGACAACCCCTTCTCCTGGAGGAAAGATCATTGACTAAACAGCTGAAGATGGTTGGGCACAGGACACTACCCTGAGTAACTGGGGACTCTTGTGCTGTGATAGTATTTTTACATCTGAGTCAGGAGGATCAAGTCACATCTGCTCCAGAGGGGAGTAGCCTCTGAACAGGTTTGTTAGAAAATATCTAGCCTGAGGAAATCCTACACCCATGTTCTGGAGATGGGATAACTAGCCTCCAGAAATCACAAACCTCTTAGAGTTGTGTATGACTCCATCTGGTAGGTAGTTGCTGACTCTCATCACAGCAACATCTGTGTATCCTCTCCCTCCATAATGAGAGAGGCAGCTCTGTCAGAGGGTTGCTGTTAAAGCTGAACTCCCACAGCCACTCCTGTGGAGCCATTTTTTTTAGAGGTTGCTGGCTATGAGCATTTCAAAAACCTTTGTTGGAACAGTCTTCCAGCATCCACATCACAGCCACTTGAGGATCATCCTGTTGGAATGCTAAGTGACTTGAGCAAATTACTATGGGATAACACATGTATAACATTCAATGTTATGGCTCTTGTGTCAGCCATGGGAAAATTCAGCTGTGATATACCTTTGTTTGCAGCTTGTTACCATAGCAGATAGAACAGCTGGTACAAAGTGTTACTGAAATTTGTTCATGCATCAAGCGGGATAGGTAAAGACAAAATGATCAACTGATGAGTTTATCAATCACTAGCAGGTATTGCTATTTTATTTTTGCTCAATATCCTCACAGAATGCAGCATACATCCATGACATCAAAACCTCTCTACGGGCTCAACTGGAATGAACTCCAAGATCTGTCCAGGACCAGGCACCAAAGGACCCCAAATATGTGCATCATGCTGGTTCTAGCTATCCCACGAGCTAATCGCCACTCTGCAAGCAATTGTAGAGATCTTAACTGCCCTGTGTACAAAGGGTAGCCTTGTCCCATGGTAGCGTCCAAGTACTGTGCTGGTTTAAATAGAGATTGAGAGGTGGTGAAGTTAGTGAACTTGTACAGTATAAATGTCGCACAATACTTGCCAGGAATTTGATTCAGTGGCAGTGTCACTCACAAGCTGCAGACTAATGGAACAGCAGCCTTCCCTAATGACAAAGTCTGCCTGCTGACTGAAGTGCCTTAATGCTCACAAAAGCATGTAATTGATGACAGGCTGTGCTTGTGGGGAGACTGCTACAGCAGAAGAGTCCTTTCCCACTGAGTACTGGCACCCACAGGGAAGACAATGGAAACAAATCCTTGTTCCTGCTTGTAGACTTCAGAATGAATTATGTGACTGTCGTTACAGAATCATTAGGCACAAAAGGAAGCCATTCAGCCCTTCGTATCCTTGCTGGCTCTTTGCAAACGCAACCCACATGGTCCCACATAAACTTCTTCCTCTTAGACCTCGACTTTTCTCTCCAGGTGACAATATAACTCCCATTTAAAATTGAAAAAGAACTGTCTTAAAACCAAGGACTGTGGAAGAAATTGCTACAAATTTAAAAACAAGTTATTGGAACTCATTGTGATTCATGTTTACATTGCTGCTTTGCAAGCAGTGGGGGAAGCTGGGATAAAACGGCACAGCTTAGAGGTGCCTGTACAGAGTGACATTTGACCTGTAACACGTTACTGAATGGTTCATGCAAATACAGCCAGTTGTGAAGTCATCAGCCTGAAGGCAACCCTCTGATTGTCTCTTGGGCAGGTGAACAGCCTGATCATTCACAATAGAAGGTATGAAGCTTCCGAATTACTGGAACAGCAGGTTCTACGTCAATAATTGACTGCAGTAAAAGTACCAAAAGCAAGCCAGTTATTTTCTCTGACCAGTTGCTGTAAGCTGTTGCCTTTAACCAGTAAATAAGGAACTTTGTAGTTAGTGTATCCAAACGCTGTGTCCCCTGTGAATTTAAACAACTCGGAAGAGATCGAAGAACAGGTGGTCTTAGGCAGCAAAAGGAACATCTCATTGAATTCTATGGACTGCTGCCAGAGAACTACATTTCCCCAGTATTTTGTGTTCCACCCAAAACACCATTTTGCTTTTGTTTGTGTGCGCGCGTAATGGGGTTTTAAAAGATTAGGGTTTCAACCAATAGAATTGTATACTGATAGTTCAGAGATTATTTCTAGTCATAGGTGAACAATTCTTTCTGTAATAAATAGTAGTTCTTGTTCAGTACAGGAACATGGCCAGTATTTTCTGTTAATGTGATTCCATTAGACAGGTACATTGGGGACTTTGCACACTTTGATTAAAACATAACCCCTTGATTAGTGGTGCTCAAAACTCAGCACACTTCCCCAAGTTGGTCATAACAGTTTCTAATCAGTCACCCTCCTTTTATTACCCTGTTGCTATTTATATGCCTGTAGAAGAGTTTTGTATTCAGTTTAATATTAGCTACAAGTCTCTTCTCTTACACTTTGCTTCTCAATTATTTTTTCATATTTCCCATTGAACTTTCTATAGTCAGCCTTGTTCTCACTCATACCACCTTATATCTGCCATTTATACCCTTCCTGCTTTATAGTATGCTGTCAGCAAACAAGCATGCAGGTACTGCAGGTGATGAAGAAAGCAAATGGTATGTTCACCTTCACAGCAAAAGGATTTAAGTACAGGAGCAGGAACATCTTGCTGCAATTGTACAGGGCCTTGGTGACCTGCAGTATTGTATATAGTTTTGGTTTCTTTATCTGAGTATGGACAATCTGGCTATGGAAGGAGTGCAATGAGGGTTTATCAAACTGATTCCTGAGATGGCAAGACAACGAATGAAGACAGGACTTTATTCACTGGAGTTTAGAAGAAAACCTATAACATTCTAACAGGACTAGACAGGGTAAAGGCAGGATGTATCCGATAACCAGGGATCACTATCTAAGGATCATTTAGGACTGAGCTGGGCAGAAATGTCTTCACCCAGAGAATGGAGAGCCTGGGTAATTCTCTGCCACAGAAAGTGGTTGAGTCCAAAACATTGAATTTTGTCAAGGTGTTTTATGAAGTCTTTAGGGCTAAAGGAATCAAAGGGTAAGAAAGGGGAGAAAGGAGGAACAGGGGACTGAGTTGGATGATCATCATGATCATACTGAATGACCTACTCCCACACCTATTTTCTATGTTTCTATGTCACTTTCATTGTCCATGGAGTTCAGGATTAGTTTGTCATCACGGCAATTTAACCTCGTGTGCCCAAAATACCTCGACTTTGAAAGCACTCTATTTTTTTTGTTACAGTTTTACCCTCCAATCTTTGATTCCAATTAACTACAGCTTTTCTGTTCTCACTCTACTGAAGTGGGGCCTCATAAATTATTTACTTTTAAACTAGATTGTTCCCACTCCTTGATTACAGCCAACTCAATTCTAGGATATGATGATCATAGTCCCTTGCAAATGCTTGACCGACCTTGCTCCCCAGTACGAGGTCCAGCAGTTCCCTGTTGCAAGCTGACATCAAACGATTATGTGCTGTAGTCACTTTGACCGCCATTGGAAATGCTGGACCATCTAGAAGAGTAGACTGTGCTTTGGGGTCCATCTCAATGGAGAACTGCTACACGACTACTCAAATAAAAGCAGAACTATAGGCCCAGAGGGCTGGGTAAGAAAGACAGACAGGCTCTCCACTTCTGAATCGCTCTTCACAACCTCAAGACATCAAAAAGTATTTCACAGCCAATGATGTATTAACTGAGATAGTAACTATTGTAATATAAGTAGCTAATTCGTAAGCTCCTATAAAACAGTAACAATCAGACTTTTTTTTTTACTGTAGAAGAACACACTCCTCAAAAATGATTTCCCGAGAAGACCTAGTGAATATCTCACCCAAATGCTGCTCCTCCCATCACTTAAGAATGCCCAGGATGACTCCCATTTTGACCTGGGCATTGTAAGGGTGCAGAAACAGAATTATTATAAAGCAAATTCTAATGCATGAATTGTCCTGAAGAAATCCAGCCAGCTTTCTCTCACATAAGAACTCAGCACTTACAAAGCAGTGCCTTTAAAATACATTCTGATACCAATTCTTCTTTGATAATTTAAAATGGTGCATTGTCCCCTCATTTAAATTCATAATGCTAGTTGTGTTTCGAGGGGTAAAGCCTAGCCTAAATGATAGTGGGCAAGATCGAAGCAGTGACAGGGCTGTAAAGTACTGAGAATTTCGGCTTGCCACGGTCAGGACTTATTTCTCTGATTAAACTGGAAATAATCAAATTATTCATTCTTCAGAAAAGCACAGGGCTCAAACCATCAAGCGCATTATTTTAAAGTCAAAATCCAACTTTCCTATGGATATAGATTTCAGAATTGGAGTCAGATGTTCCAAATTATCTTTTTCAAGTGGAAAATAACATCAAATGTTCCTCACAGAGAACAGAACCTACATCAAAATGGAAGAGACAGTTCCTTTACATAATACTTTTATGCCAAATGTATTGGCATACTTAGCGAAAGTAAACGTAGTTTACAATAGTAAACAGATGTTAGAAATCATCCGGGAAGGAGATCCAAGTGTTTAAAAAAAATGTCTTTCAAGGATATCAACAAACTTTTGTCTCAGTTGCATTCTGAATTGCTTAAACCACTCGATGACAATTCTCCGTCTCTGATTTTTTTCCTGCAAACTCATTGCTTTCTCTTTTTCTAAAATAGCAGGCAACTCTTTCCAGTCTTTTACAAAAATGAATGGTGCTCCCATTAACTTCAGGAGACGCAACGGGGCATTCTGGAACACTGATGAGTTGCCACATTGTCCTGGGGTCATGACATCTTCGACAACCGGAACAGAACCATAGGAGCAGGCTTCATAAATTCTGTAGCATTCAGTATTTATTCCCACAGGGCACAGCGTGAGGTCACTTTGCAGCAAAGCATCTTGATACTTCTTTAAACTTTCACTTGTTTCTTGAGGTAACCACCTACATGGGAAACAATAACAGAAATCAACATTCATCTACAGTTTGTGCTTCCTTGTGTCTGTCATAAACTGCAAACGCCTTAAATAAAACCAGCATCCTAGCATTTCTGCATCAAATTACATTTGGTCAACGCACACTATACAGTGTTAAGATAAAACTGTAGCTTGTTAGTGATCATTGTTTAAGATATATACAAAAAAATACATTTGACTTAGTTTCCTTTGCAAGTGAGAGGACTGAGACAGAACTTTAAAAACTCATTTCTGAGAATCTTTGCGAATTTATTCACAATAAAACTATTACTTTCCACATGAAAAATAGGGCAATTTAGAAAATGAAGTTCATCTGCAATGACAATCTGTAGTAAACAGAAACAGTATGGGCCATTCAACTCAAGGTGTCGGGTAGTAGTATATTTTTGGTAGTATATTTTGGCCTGTTCTGTTCTTTATGGTTCTACAAATTTCTCGACACGCCGATTCTTTATCTTACTTCAAGGCTGATATGTACCTCAATTCAACTTATCCACTTTGCTTCACTGCAAGGCAAATAGTATTCATCTGTTTGACACTGTTTTCACCAGGTAGACTTAAATCTAAATAAAAACCGAAAGAACCGCGGATGCTGTAAATCAGGAACAAGAACAAAGTTGCTGGAAAAGCTCAGCAGGTCTGGCAGCATCTGTGAAGGAAAAACAGAGTTAACGTTTCGGGTCCAGTGACGCTTCCTCAGAACAGTTCTGAGGAAGGGTCACCGGACCCAAAACATTAACTCTGTTTTTTCCTTCACAGACTGAAATCTAATTTTCTTTAATTTCCCCCACCCTCCCGGTATCAGATACCAATTTAAAACTCCATGGCAACAGCAGCACAACTCCCTGTAATTGACATTCATAAGTAACATTTATACAGCCTTTCTGTCAAGTTCAGCAGGACCAAGAGATTAGGTCAAGAATCTTGCAAAGTTTGGAAGAAAAGAGGCCACACTATCTTTGTGCGACCATTCACAACGAGGTACCATCAGTAGTTCACAAGGAGCAAAAAAGGTTATTCAGTACCGGCCTGAATTTTTGCAGGCATCCTTTAGCATGAAAAGAAATTGATAAAGCAGCAGAACCCGTTGACAAATATAAACCATGCAGTGAAGAGGCTAAACAAAAGTGAACCAGAGATAATTCAGATTTGCAGGGGAGGGGAAACAGACCAAATGCAGGTTAGAGTTGGGTAAGGATTGGCCCTACAATAGTAAATGAAAATAAATCAGATCCAATGGAACAACCAGAAGGAAAGAATGAGGACATTAATGTTTCTGAACGAAGAACAGATACATGTTCTGTCATGGGCTACTAAGGCAAAATTGATGGGAAAGATAATGAGACCGATAAGGAATTGCTAATAGCAAGGAAGAGTTGATAATGAGTCACTAAATGCACAAACATTAGGGATACGATAAGATTGTGATATGCAAATCAGTCTTTTCAAAAATTCCTATTTTAGTTCATTACAAAAGGCTAGATGAATCATATCTGAACTCAATCTCCAAATAAACAACCTAATGCACAGTGATAGCATGATATTAATTACAAAAGCAAGAGACATTGGTCCAGAATTTACAGTAGCAATGATGGTGAACCATTAGCATTTACTAATACTGACAGTAATATTTGAAGGCTGCAGATGGAGATTTTAATGCATGGAAATCCAGAAGCTGCTGCTAGTTTTACTGAACTTTTCTGTAGGGTGCGCTGTCTACTGAACTAGTGGGCACATCAATTCTGCGACTCACTGTAAAATCTCTGAAAAAAATTAAAACCTTTTGAATAACAGTAGCTTTGTTCTGAACAACATATGGTATTCATAATTATGGAGAAATACCCGATTGGCACTAAAATAATTTTTGTTGAATGTCATATTTCTCCAATAGAAGGAAGTCCGTATTTTCAAAATAAATATTTGAAGGTTTGTTTTATTTTCCACCTTAATCCATTAGTGTGTAACAATCATTTATTTCAAAATTGGTTAAAATTCAACGTGAAAAGTGAAGAGGATCAATGATTTTTACTTAATGGCTTGCTATCTAAAATAATACTCCACTGAAGCTGGATGTTTCCCTTATGCCATCGCTACTTGTTCAGAAATCACACGATACCAGGCTATAGTCCAACAGGTTGATTTGAAAACACAAGCTTTTGGAGTCTTACTCCTTCTTCAGGTGGTGAAGGTGTAAGACTCCGAAAGAGATAGCAGGAACTGCAGATGCTGGAGAATCTGAGATAACAAGGTGTAGAGCTGGATGAACACAGCAGGCC